TGATTACTATTAAATCAACTTTGAAACCAACATTAGCCATGCTTATAAATATAATAGGTGGTAAGAAAGCAACGGTATACACATCAGAATTTATACAACAATGATGTACTAAAGGAACAATGACTTAGTGTTATAATTTATATAAGTATAGCATCATTTAGCAGCCAGAGGTGCAGCCAAAAATAGAAACATCAAATACATAAATATCAAAGAGAGATGGATGACTAACACGTACATCTAGCATAAGTAAGTAACACGGTGTCAATTAAAGGAAACTTATGAGGATCATTCCTATGCCTATCAGTGTTCTTCTCCTGTATTAATTGAAGAGCCTATCAAGCTAGTGCACACCCAAGAGAGTAAAATTGGTTCTCCCAAATCCAATACAACTTCTGCATTTTGAAAGAACAAAGCTTCCATGAGTAACAATATTGATTAAGAAGTTGCTCTGCTGTTGATCATAGTTTCGGATATTTAGCAATATTAACATGGTAAACAATTAGTGTAACGATATTTTCGACTTCTAAATATCCTTCCATTCTCAACTTTTGTTCTCTTACTTTCCGGACCGTCCAGTTCAGATCGAGTGTAAAGTACTAACGCATAACAGTTTTGCCTTGCATACATTTCAAACTTTGGAAATATGAAAATCATATCTCCAACTTTGCAAGCTAATTGGAAAGTTTAATATCATCCATAATATTGCTAAGCATCTTCCCACTAACACAAAAACGTTAATCAAAATAAAGAAATAAAAACTCATAGGCACGGCACTATCATTGAAGAACACATATCTCAGGTTGAGCACTTCTCCTATGCTTTAAAACATTGGTGCTTTAAAGTACAAATTTAAGTTGTACGATAACATTAAAAGTATAAATTGAAGTTGTACCATAAAAAAATTTAAACGTTTATGTTATGGCAGGCGATATAGCTCTTTATGTCATATTGCTGTTGTTAATTGTCAAGTACAGTACTGCGTATATTTGTAGCTAACAGGAACTGGAAGGTGGGCTGCATCATCATCATCATCCTCTAGCTGTTGAAAGGCATCGTTGTCCAGTGCCAAACTTGTCCTGCTACAGTATTTTTTGTTTATGACTCTCACCATCGCTCGTTTTCCATTTTTGGGATTGATTACCTACAGCCACAAGCAGGGGCGGAGCTACACATAGGCTTGGGGGGCCCCGGCCCCCTCGAGAATTTCAGAACTTACGTATAAACTATATCGGTATTTGAAAATTTCGTATAAACTTATGTGTTTGTATAAAATGGTTTAATGTGCATTATTGCAACACGAAAGTAAACTAGCCTAGTGGTCGGAGTCCTTCTATTGCATCAATTAGATTATGGGTTCGAAACCCAGAGGATGCATATTGTAATTTTTGTTTTAATCTCTCATTAACTTTTATCTTATGGATTCTCAATTCTGTAATTTCAATATAGTTTCTTAACTCTTTTATTTTCAATATTAAGTTTTATATGGATTCAAATTGATGCTTTGATAATATTAAAAATTTATTTGATTATTGTTTTTGCTAAATTTTATTGTCTTTTCGCAGTAACAAAATAAATCCCCCTTCGGAACGTCAAATTCTGTCTTTGTCTCTAACTCAAAGTTGAAATGCATTTTATGCACTTTCAACTGCAAAGTAAATCAATACTAATTTTAGAAGCACATAAATTAATGGAGTCGTAAACAAAACTTATGGATACGACGTATTCACCTTTTTGAGTTTGTCTACACAAAATAAGTTGTAGTATTGATCTTATTTTGAGTAACTCTAATCATCTAAAATGCTAGTTATAATAATATTAAAAATATTTTTTTCCTTATTTTTATCGTATTTCCGAAGTAGTAGAATAAAAAAAATCCGGCCCCCCGAACTTCGAATTCTAGCTCCGCCCCTGGCCACAAGGAAGGATGATCAATATCATTTTAGGAGCTACGTACGTACTGTACATGCATGGCTTTATTAATATTACCTGTAGACAATCGCCGGGAACAATGTTGGCCGAGACCGTAGTCGATGAAGACGGTCCACTGCATACTGTGGCCGAACCAACCGATGCCGACGATGATGAAGAAGTAGCAACGGACACGTTGTTGAGGTTGGGGTCGTAGGTGGCTACTAGCTGGGTTTCATTCTGCTGGTTCTCAACAGCCGGCGGTCGAGGGCAGTTTCCCAGGCAAAGACAAGGATTACGAAAGTCACCATCGTCACAGCAACACGGCTTACAGTAACGGAAAGAGGCTCCACAGTAGCCCCACGGGCTACAACAACGTCCTGCCGCACAATCCACGCAGTTGCTATCGTAACGAGGGCAGCCGCATGTATGATTTGCCCTTTCGGCGGCGACCGGCGCCGGCGACATGATGATGACGACTAATACAGCGAGTACTACTGTAACTGCTGCTGCTGCCGCCATTGCTCTCGATATATCGATCTTCTTTGGATTTCTAAGTAGTTGCTCGGTTTCAATTTGTGTGCTAGCTGTTTTGATTGTGGATGCGAGTAAAATCTAGCTATTTATAAAGCGAGCTAAGGGTGATCCATGGCGGGCGCCTGCAGCATTCTCTCTTTGAATTTATCTTATTTGTTTTGTCTTCTTGAGTTGGACTTCAGAATTGGAAGATATAAATTCCATTTTTTGTTTTCACAAAAATCCAACCTAGCTAGCTAACTAGGAGTTTCAAGTGGAAAAAACTAAACATAACCTCCAATTTTGAATTGGGTGTATCGCAAGTAAATATTTTTATCAATTGTGAACAATTTCAAAGTATTGTGCATGTTACCGTACTATTTCTAAGCAAAAATGAACTCATTTATTTCTTTGTAACTATCTATTATTTTACCTTACTATTTATGGCAAAAAAAAAGACTATTGTAAAATTTTCTACATCAAATTTATATTTATCGTGTTTTCGATTCTCGTTTTCGTATTCTTGCATTCTCGATTCCGGCGATTTCCTCATCCGTAGCAGCGCATTTATAATAATAATTCTAGAAAATTTTCTACTATTAGTATTGTTATATAAATCAAGTTTGGAGTATGATATTATACTCTAACATCTAACAAAGAAACTCCATTGTCCCGATTCTCTAAACCCAAACTTGAAGATCGATTTACTACAAAATAATAATTAGTTATTCTGATTTACCAAAATACAAAAATGTATATCCAACAATCAAATTACTTGGAGTATGATATACTTCATAAATACACGAAAATATATCATATTTAACTACTCTGGCATTTTAATATTTTATTGTAAGCTAATTAGATTGAGCCATGTGGCAACCTTAAGCTAATTAATTAATCTTCCTTTTTTTTAGGTTTAATTCACCCGTGTAGCCATAACTTTCACGGTTTTGACAGATATAGCCACTTTTTGAATAATACACAGATGTAGCCATACTTTTTAAAGTTCGTTGTCTAATCTAGCCATTTCCGTTAAAAGATTTGACGGAGTTAACGTCTCCGTCAGTTAAGTGTCCGTTTAGCTGACCTGTCCGCCAAATGGATGACATGTCATCGCCAACCGGGTGGACTTAGCCACGTGGACGCCACATCGGATAAAAAAAAATTGAACACTCTCTCTCTCTCTTGGCCTCGCCGTCGTTTTCATTCCCTTCCTCTCTTGTTTTCTAGGGTTCGCACAACAGAGACTCCTCTCTATTTTCAATCCCTTCTTCCTCTCGATTGCATTGCAATCCCTTCTTCCTCTCTATTTGCAATCCCTTCTTCCTCTCTATTTTCAATCCCTTCCCTCGATACCTCCTCTCCACCCCAACTCCTCTCCAACCCAACTCCTCTCCCGATTCCATTTTCGCTCCATACACCAAGATAATCACCGAGACAGTTTCGCCCAGCCGTTCCTTCATCTCCGAATCCCAGCCCAGCCGCTCCATATCCCGGTCAACCCTTCATCTCCGAATCCATGTCGAATAGGTCTGGAAAGAAGGTGGATTTCAATGTTGCCGATTCCGGATCAGCAAGCACCAATAGTAGGATTGTTGTTCGATGCAAGCACCGTGCGAAGAAGAAAACCAGAGCAGAAAACCAGAATCACTCACCAGCTGAACGATTTAGGGTTTCTTAGCAACGCGATTTAGGGTTCCTCCGCCGATTTAGGGTTCCTCCGCCGATGTTTCTTAGCCGCCACCAGCCGAACCGCCGAAGTCCGTACCGCCGACGAAAGAGCGACCCTCCGATGCTACTCACCGGCGGAATGCATGGCTTCCCTTTGTCGGCGATCGCGAACGATTGGGAAGAGTCGAGAGAAAAGGAAAAGAGTAGGTTGGGAACCCTAAAACGAAAAAGGGGAAAGTGATCTGAATCCCCTTTTCGTCTCCAACTATGTCGTTTTACTTTTTAATTAAAAAAAAATTCCACGTGGCAAAGACGAAAACCAAAACGCGCCACATCAGCCGCAACCGTTAGTCCAGTCAGCTAGTTAAGTGGACCGTCAAAAAATAGGACGGAAATGGCTACATCTGTGTATTATTCAAAAAGTGGCTATATCTGTCAAAACCGTGAAAGTTATGGCTACACGGGTGAATTAAACCTTTTTTTTACATGTTAGTGACAACTGACAATAGTGGGTGCGAAAGGAAATTATAGCTAAAATACAAACATATAATCTTCAAGTTAAAACCAATCATGGTACAAGCTAGATCACTCCTATCCTTCGTCCCAATGGCGTTAATGAAAACAAGAAGAACAACCCAGTTGTAATAAAAAAAAAAAAAACCAACAACTGTACCTTTTTTTTATTTTATGTTTAACAACTGTACCTTCTTTATACACACTAAAACAACCAATAATTAATAAACGCGATGCATGTACGTATTTATTTTATTATAGTCTATAGAGGAGTTGCGGAAGCGTATGGGAAAGGGCAAACGTACCAAGCCAAGCCAAGATTTTTACAAGAAGATGATGAAATAAAGAAGACTTTTTTTTTTTTTGACGGTAAACTGTGAATGCTTTATTAATCAATCAATCGAAGCGGTTACATTATCCTGCAACAGTTGATCAATAAGAAAAACTGGTGGTTGATCCACCCAAACAACCCTCTCGTTCCACCTGGTCTCTGTATGAGCCATAAGATGAGCCGCTTCATTAGCTTCTCGGCTGATATGTTTCCATCCACCTTGCCCCGATGCGAACAATAAACGGCGTATGCTACGGCACAATACACCAACCTCATCATGTTGTTCCTCCGGGTGATGCATTTTCTGGATTAAAGTCAGGCAATCAGACTCCAATACCACGTCGGAGTAATGAAAATGGGCTGCTAGTTGAGCCCCAAACTCGGCTGCCATAGCCTCGGCTGTCTCTGGTCTCCACTCGCCAGGGATTTTCTTAGCAGCAGCCAGCAAGAAATTGCCGTCACTATCCCGCGCCACCATCCCAAGGCCAATTCCACCCGAGACGAGAACACCCGCGTCTGTGCAGACAGAAACCCTACCCATCGCTGGCTTTCTCCAATGCTTGGCCTGGGTGGGGGGGGGGGGGGGGTTGTCTCTTGTTTTCGGACCTGTCGCTGCTTGTACTCTGCATGTAGGTTGTTAGCTCGTATCGGGATCTCCTCTTCGGGCAATTTGGCTCCATTGAACAAATGGGCGTTGCGCTCCTTCCAGAGATACCATAACAAGACACACCAACCCTCCACCTTCTCGCCCTCTCCTGAATCCATAGCCGTCCATATCCATTCCATCCAAGTTTCTGTCCCTCGGAGTTCGAACAAAGCTCTCAACTCCGTCTTCCTCCAAATTCTCGAAGTCCAGCCGCACTCCAGAAAGATATGCTGCTGGGTTTCAATGGCATCACAAAAAGGACATTTATCCCCCAACCTTGGATTACGGTGGCTAAGGAAAACCCCTGTCGGCAAAATTTCTCTTGTGAATCGCCACATAAATTGTCTAATCTTCGGTGGAATTTCTAAAGACCACAATTTCTTCCACAGCCGTTCCTCTCCAACGTCAATCACCGCATTCCGAGCCTTGAAACCTTGCAACCACTTTTGATAGCCCGCTTTTACAGAATATTCCCCAGTCTTGCTGTCATGCCAGATGATGGTATCCACCTCCCCATTCCCGCGGAGCGGGATTTGCTCAATGGCCCGAACAATGGCTGTGGGAAAACAGCTTTGCAAGACAGTCGTGTCCCAAGCTTCTATTTCTGGATCAATCAGCTCCCTCACGTTGGCATCGACCGGGAGCCCCATGGGGGCCGAGTATACGTAGTGCTGATCAATCCCAGGGATCCATTTGTCGCCCCAAACTTTGACATCAGCACCATTGCCCACCCGCCAACGAAGCCCACTGTTCAGCAAATCCTGTGCCCCCATCAAACTCCTCCAGATGAAACTTGGGTTATATCCCACAGTGGCATCAAGAATGGATGAATTCTTATGGTATTTCGCTCTAAAAATCTGTGCAATCAAAGACTTCGGCCGCTTCAGCAGGTTCCAAAGTTGCTTTGCTAAGAGAGCTTCATTAAAGCCTTTTAGATCTCGAAATCCCATACCACCAGCCTTCTTCGGATTAACCATCTCCTCCCTTCGGATACCATGCGTCCTTCTCTCCGATCCCTTCTGTCCCCACCAGAAGTTCATGATCATGCTATGAACTTCGTCGATCACTCCGTCCGGGATTTTGAACACTGACATGGCGTAGGTGAGTTGTGCCTGTGCCACGGACTTGATAAGCACCTCCCTCGCAGCAATAGACAGCGTCCTTTCCTTCCATCCATTCAACTTCTTTCTCGTCCTCTCCTTCAGGTCCTCGAATAGCACCTTCTTTGATCGGCCCGCTTCGGTTGCTATCCCTAGATACTTTTGGTGCTTCTCAACTCTGGTCATGCCGAGCACTCCAGCAATCTCTAGGCTCCTATGCGTCGACACATTGGGACTAAAGGAGACCTCGGACTTTTCGAAGCTCACCATTTGGCCTGACTCAACTTCGTAGTCCTGGAGTATTTTCCTCAGCACAATACTCTCCTGCACCGTGGACCTAGCAAAAAAGATACTGTCATCAGCGAAAAAAAGATGTGAGATGGCCGGGGCCCCTTGAGCTGGTTTGATCCCATGAAGCATCTTCTCCCTAACCGCCTGTGCCGTATAAGCCGACAGTCCTTCCGCACACAAAAGGAACAGGTATGGAGAGAGCGGGTCTCCTTGGCGAAGACCGCGACTGGGAACAAACACCGGTGATTGATGCCCATTAACCAGTACCGAATAGGTAACCGATCCCACACAGAGCATGATGGTATCAACCCATGCCTCTTCAAACCCCATTCTCCTCATCACCCCTGCCAGGAATCGCCACTCTACTCTGTCGTAAGCCTTTGCCATATCAATCTTTGCCGCAAAGTAGCCTGGTCCTCTCTTATTTTTCTTTTTCTTCATAGTATGGAAGCATTCAAACGTTGCCATAACATTATCGGTTATAAAACGACCAGGGACGAAGGCACTCTGCTCAGCCGAGATTATCTTATCCATCACCCGCTTCAACCGGTTGGCAAGAACCTTTGCTGCAAGTTTATAGACAACATTACATAGACTGATAGGTCGGAATTGTTTCGGGCTTGTCGGAGATTTGACTTTCGGGATCAGGGCTATTAGTGTATGATTGAGGTGTTGTGGCATCTCTCTTTTTTCTATAATGCCCCTCACTGTCGACACAACCTCATCTCCTACAATCGACCAGTACTTCCTGAAAAACATCACAGACAAGCCATCACAGCCGGGAGCTTTTCGTTTACCCATCTGCTTGAGAGCCGCTAGCACCTCTTCCCCGTTTATTTCTTTCAGCAGGATCTCATTGTCTTCCCTTGTTACCGTTCGCGGAATAGCGTCCAGCACTGGAGATGATAGTGGGATATCGCCTGCCGTGAACAGATCCATGTAGTACTGATTTAGGCAGTCAAACAGCTGTTCTGTTCCATTGAACCATCTGCCCGAGTCATCACATAACTTCCTTATCGTATTCCTTCTTCTTCGAGCTGACGCCTTCCTATGGAAAAAATTTGTGTTCTTGTCCCCCCCATGAAGCCAGTCCGCCCTGGATCGCTGTTGCCAATAGCTTTCTTCATTACTTTCTACCTCAGCGAGCTCCTCTTCCAACTTCCATTTCTGATCCAGCACCCCTTGCGACGGCTGCATCTTTTCCAGCTTTCGCAAAGCCTTCTGAATTCTCGCCTTTTGCCGCTTGAAATTTGGAAAAGTTGCTGCACTCCATTGCTCTAGCTTTCCTCGACAAGCATTAATTTTTCCCATTATCCCATTGGCTCCTTGCTCCAACCATGCTTCCGCTATAACCTTTTCACATTCCTCATGAGTGACCCAGAAAGGATCAAAACGGAAACTCCAACCCCAAACCGGATCTTCATCTTCCTCCCCCAACGTATCACACACTATGGGCCTATGATCCGATCGCGCTTTGTCAAGGTTTTTGAACCTAGCCCGGCAAAATTTGTCCTTCCAAAGCTCCGTACCCACAAATCTATCCAATCTTTCTTCTGTATACATCTCATTCCTTCTTCTGTTTTCCCAGGTAAATTTATATCCTTGATACCCCATATCCATCAGACCCGTGTCCACTAGACAGTCATTAAATTGGGCCATATCCGCCTCCGCTGGGGCTGGTCCTCCCCTCTTCTCATTAGCAGCACGAATCCCATTGAAATCGCCACCGCAAAGCCATGGTCCTTGCCATTGCATAGCTAAATCCCTGATCAGAGCCCAGGTATTAGCCTTTTCTCCAGCTCCCGGCCAGCCATATATGCCCGTGAACCGCCAAACATCATCATCACTCTCAGTAATCTTTAGGTCCATATAGTGTAAAGAGGAGTTAACCACAGTCGCATTGATTTCCTCCTTCCACCAAACGCACAAACCTCCTGCTCGGCCCCCGCCAGACGTATCCATCGGGACGCAATCACCACCACTGTATTCCAACTCCTTTCGTAACTCTTCATTTTCCAATTTATTTTGTTTCGTCTCCATTAAGAAGACGATTTGCGGGGAAACTAGTCGCAAGAGCGACTTTAGGGCCTTAACTGCACGCTTACTCCCCAGCCCGCGGCAGTTATAGCATAAAAGCCTCATTTATGTCCCGAAGGGGATAGGCTCCCCGCGCCCTTGTTCTTAAGACCCTTATCATCAACTCGTTTAGGATTGTACTGTGGAGGGTTGGGCTCTTTGTTACCGCCGTGCTACCAAACTTTCCTTCCTGATTTTGCTCGCCATTAGCTTGTGGCGGTTTCAACCGAGACCCTGCATTTGCTTGCTTACCCTCACCACCCTTCTTTTCAGCCTTTTTTGGTGCCTCTTGCGTCTTTGTCCTCATCTCATCCCTCCTAGTAGACTGATTTGCCACCGTCTTTTGCTTTGCATTCTCCTCCTGCCTTCCTTTGTCCTTTAGCTCCCCATTACTGTTTTCAATATTGGTTCCCTTCTTTGCACTCGCAGCCTTTATTGTTGTTTCATTTTCCTTTCTTCCCTGCTTGCTTTTCGTTTGCATGGGATTCCTGCTTTCCTCTTCCTCCCCATGCAGAACGTGAAACTTATTATGAGTAGTTGATGGCACTTCCTCCCTAACAGGAACTCTCCCAGCCTGCATTTTCTTCCCCTTCTTCTTCACGGTCATCCATTCCCCATATTGCTTCCCGTTTGTGGGGTCAGGTACTTGGGTTTCCGGGACCATCTCTACTTCCTCCTCGACCACGATCGGTGGTTCCTTCTGGCATTCACACTGATCAGTCTTCGACCCATACACACCACATTCCCCACATATATTCTCGAGCCCCTCATATTGAATTAAATACTTAATGCCCTCAATTTTGTATTGCGATAATAATGGTCTCGTCAAATCCACTTCCACACAAACCCTCGCAAACTGTGCTCTTGCCCCCAGCTCAGTCGCCCTATCCACCCTAATTGGGTTGCCAATTGCCTCCCCTATCCGCATAACCGCTTCTTTGTTCACGAACTCCACCGGTAACTCAGGAAGCTGCACCCAAACAATGGTGGACCTAATGACAGAGGTCCAAGGGTTGAAACCCTTATACCAGCGGTGAACTGTGAGGTAGGTATCCCCCAGTAACCAAGGTCCCCCAGAGGAGGCCAGTTCATAATCTAGCTTATGCTTGAATCTCACCAGAAAACAGCCATTCTTGATATCAGTGATCTGAATCGTTCCATGTCGTGCCCACAGGTAGTTGAGTCGACGTGCTAGGGCGGGATAATGGACCCTTCTTCCCAAACCTTTCACCACCAACGCCGATCTCCACTCCCGCCTCCACCGTATCTTCTCCGCTGCTGAATATAGTATCAAGGGACATCTAGGGTCAAACTCCTCATCTACTACATAATCATCTTCTTCTCCCTCTCTCACAGCCACATCCT